GAACAGTATGAAAAATATTATGCTGGATAAAAATCATATTCCTTTGGTTTAAATGTAATAAGGCTATTTAAATTCACCAATATTGGTTTCACTCATTTATATTAAACCTATTTTTAGAATGGTCTTTTGGATGTTACTATAAGCTTTTATTATATGGTGTTGCATAACAGCAAGATTACAGCTGGATGAGGGTAAATATCTGCAGCTATACAGATCCAACATAAAATATAATGAAGGCATTTAGTGTAGTTGCCAGTGGGCAGCAGCACTAATTCGTGAATATTATAATCTTGTGCTCTATTTAAGGATGAATGATATGTCAGGTGATAGATAGGTTCTCGATTATTAAGGGGAGTAAAAGGTTATGAACAAAAGGCAGGAGAGCAGGGTTGAGAAACCTATCTGATGATCGAATGATAGAGCAGACTTGATGGGCCAAATGGCCTAACTCTGCTCCAATATCTTATTGAATATGGTGGAAGAAACAAAAACACACAAGTAGAATTTTCAGTTGATGGTCCCTGCCAAAATGGCAGAGCCTATAGAAAGTTAGGAAGCCACTGATAACTTAAGGGTCTTTGGCAGGCCACTTCACTGAGCAATGACATTAGCATCTGCCTCCAGGTTCGTTGGCCATCAGAGAGGGTAGTCAGGACAACATGTGCATTCTGATTAAAGGTGTCAGAAATCATCAACTGGAGAAAGATATCCAAAACCATAGAAACCACAGGAAAGAAGAAGCGACATGGGATGAACAATTCCTGGGTATCTTTTCCCTGGAGGATATGCAAAGATCTGATGAACCACAGTGATCTCACCCAAATGTTGGCAGAAGAGTTCATATTTAGCTAAGCAGGACTTCATGGAAGTGGCCAAGGAAATCAGCAGCAGAAATATGGTCCCTCCAATTTTATTCAGTGCATCACAACAATCCAGGAGAACAGTCAGGTAAATGAATAAAACTTTCAGATGTCAAGACCTAAATTCTTATTATCTTTGTATATTCCTGCACACTGCTACTCAGAATACACTTCCTTTCCAGACACCTCCCATTCCCATCTAAAATACGGTATTTATGGTATTCCATCCCAATCTCTCACTTCCTCGGTCTTCATCGTATATGTCCAAATGAGGCCAACTTCAACAAGGGAGCCTCCGAAATATCCACCTTCTTAGACAACCGAGGATTCCGCAGCACCGTTGTCGACAGGGCCCTCAAACGTCTCCTGCACTTCTGCCCTCACCCCCTCCCTTCTCAGAAGAGTGATAGGGCTCCCTCTTGTCTTTACCTACCAACCCACCAGCATCCATATTGCGAAGATCAGGCACCATTTCCACCACCTCCAGCAAGATACTACCAGACACATATTCCCCTCCCCCTCCTATTCCACCAGGACCATTCCCTCCAGGACACCCTGGTCTACTCTTTCACCAAACCCTGAACATGAACTGATTTTTTCCTTCAGAGATGCCATCAGACCTGCTGACCTTTTCCAGCAACTTCTGTTTCTGTAGCATTTATGGTAATTCTTTTGCCCACCACACCGTCACACTCCACCATTGCCCTGTTTTCTTATCCATAAAAGCCACTTCTGATTCTTCGCCAAAATAGCACACAACTGTGCGAGAGAGGCTGAGGCCTGGGATCTAGAGGAGTGACTCCTTCAGTAACTGGTACGTTGACACATTGACAATGCATGCTTAACTGTTCTACTGGGAAGGAGAGATAGCAAGAGCTGCAGATGCTGGAGTCAGAAGGGTCCCAACCCAAAACATCAGCTTTCCTGCTCCTCTGATGCTGCCTGGTCTGCTGTGTTCCTCCAGATCCACACTTTGTTATGACCAGTAAGGAGACCTTGTTTTTGGAGTCTGCTGATATTAACAATTACCTTGTGTGAGCATACTGTGTTCAAACTCTCCTAAAGATAGCTCATTGTGACTCCTTTGATCCTAAAGGAACTTGAAACAAGTCTGTTCCCAGCACAATGAAACTGGCCATTCTTCAGTCAAGTAATTGCATGTATTTTTACAAAGTCTGAAACTGATGCTCTCAAAATACCCCCTACAATATTTGATCCACTTGACTTTATCCTTCAGAAACAAATTCAGCATTTCAGGAAATTTCTGAAGAAGGGTCTAGGCCCGAAACATCAGCCTTCCTGTTCCTCTGATGCTGCTTGGCCTGCTGTGTTCATCCAGCTCTACACCTTGTTATCTCAGATTCTCCAGCATCTGCAGTTCCTACTATCTCTGAAACAGCATTATATCCTTCTTGTTTGGTCACTGTTCAAGCAAGTTATTTTAAGACTGTTCAGAAGCTTGTTATCTCTCTTACAGAGATACAGTCCCTACAGTGTGGAAAGAGGGCATTCAGCCCAACAAGTCCACACCACCTCCAAAGAGCATCTCGCCCAAACCTATTCCCCTACCCCTGCATTTCCCATATCTAACCCACCTAACTTACACATTCCTGAACACTATGCGCAATTTAGTATAGCCAATCCACCTAACCTGCACATCTTTGGACTGTGGGAGAAAACCGGAGCACCCGGAGGAAACCCACGCAAACACGGGGAGAATATGCAAACACCACACAATCACCCGAGGCTGGAATCGAATCAGGTCCCTGGCGCTGTGAAGCAGGTGTACCAACCACCGAGCCACCCCCAATCCCTCTCTTTGTACGCTATTACTTTTCCAAGATACGTATTAGTCTGGTAAAAAGACTATGAGAACTTCACCTTTTCATTAGGTCAATTAAAATTTCATATTACCAATATTGTCGAACCTATGACAGCCCTACAAATTTGCTTCTCGTTATCCTTACCGTAGCTAACATACTCTATTGGGGAAAAACCCCCGCATACCAGACCTACCATTTCCTCAATCTGCATTAGAAAACTACATTTCGACTTGTGTTTCTTGCAGCCACAGGTTGCCCAGTTTCCTTTTATTTATTCGCCACCCATCAATTTCCGCTCCTCTCATGAACGAAAGCCAATCTCTCTACACTCCGCACCAACGCGTTGTTCTATCGGTTGCCTTTGTCCTCATTGCGCAAACTCAGATCCCTTCCCCCGCCCATTTCCCCCTATTCTCACTGTGGTAGGTGCCCTTCCCCCTATTTCCACTGTGGTAGGTGCTAACGGTTGGCCGGATGCGCGCGCTGGTTTGAATATTCCGTTTTGTTTTCTCAGTGAGATAGAGATGGCAGTTAGATTGAGTGGGAAGGTGAAGACTCGATCTAGAATGGTCAGTGACAACGTGGAGCTCTTGCAGCAAGCGGTTGAGTATTTTACTACTGGTAAGTGTGGCGAGTGTTTGCATCATTAAACCCTTTTGGTGAAGAAGTGAATAGATACAAACTTTGCGGCACAGCTCCTCCTGAGTAGTGAGGTTTCAGCAGCTCGGAGTGACTAGTAGGGCATAGGACTCAGTTAAAGGGTGGGGTGAAGCATTTATAAATAAGGGCAAGATCTTGATATATTTTAGGGGCGTGGGGAGGGTCGGGTTTATGAGAATGAATCAAGGTGCAAGCTGTGATAATCTGAAGAAGTTGCAGCCTTAAAGGGTGGAGAAGCAGAGATAGTTTATAGAAATAGATTTTTCAGAGTTAATCAAAGGCACGCAGGTAAATATTTGCAGCAATGAGGAGATTTAAAAAAAACTAGGAGAGATTATATTGATGATGCATTGGATTTGTGAAAAGGATCACGACATGGGCCTAAAATATTAAGTTCTCTACTGTCAGGCTTGACATAGGTTTACATAAGTAAGAAAAAAGTAACCACTTTTATCTTTATAAAGCTAGTTTTATTCATTCAATGTCATAGGTGGTAGTGTCATTTTGATTAAGCTGTGAATGGGCTCACTGGAGAGCAGGACTAACGTATTGTGACAAAGATAATTGTCAGTGGCTAGAGTTGGGGGTTGGCTGGAGTGCTTAGTAATGTTGAAAAGGGTTACAAGAAACAGCGAACTCTGCTCAATTATACATGGTTGTTATTTTCAGTAGAGTTGTATCAATGACATGAATTTTCAAAGCCTGTCTGGCCACATGATTGGGGCCAGAAGACTAGGCAACAGCTAATGGACTATTATTCAAGAAGGTTGTTAAAAATAAATTAGGAAGCCATGGGCCAGTGAGTCAATGGGAGGGAAAGTGTTAGAAAAAAATTGAGCGATAAAATTAATCTCCACTTGGAGACACCAGGATCAATCAAGGATCCTCAGCATGGCTTTGTCAGGTTAAATTATGTCCAACTAATTTGATTGAACTTTTCGAGGCAATGATTGGATGTGCAAATGAGGATACTGTAGTTGATGTGGTCTACCTGGACTTCAGTAAGGTGTTTTACAAGGTCTTATATGGCAGAGCGGTTAAGAAGCTGAGACCCCATTGGATCCAGGGCAATTTGGTAAAGTGGATCAAAAATTGGGTTAGTTGCAGGAGGCAGAGGATGATGATCAGAGCATTTTTGTAACTGAAATCCTTTGTCCATTGGCATGTCACAGGGTTTGGTGCTGAATCCCTTGTTTGTTATTTATGTTAATGATTTAGACATGAATGTCAGAGTTATGATCAGTAAGTTTGCAGTGACACCAAAATTAATGTGGTAAGTAGTGAGGAGGAAAGTCTTCGACTACAAGATGATGTAGGTGGGCTGGTTAGATGGGTTGAACAGCGAAATTTAGTCCTGAAAAGTGAGATAATGCATTTTGGGAGGACTAACAAGGTAAGGAAGTACACGATGAATGAGATGACCCTAAGGAGTACAGAGGATCAGAGAGATCTTGGTGTGTATGTCAATAGATCCTTGAAGGTAGAAAGACAGGTAGAGAAAGTTGTGAAGGGGCCTTTGGGATATTTGCCTTTAATAATCAAGGCATTGAATGCAAGACCATGAAGGAACTGTACGTAACGTCAGTTCAGCTACAACTTGAATGCTGTGTGCAGTTCTGGCTGCCACACAATAGGAAGGAAAATTGCATGAGAGAGGATGCAGAGGAGATTCACCAGGATGGTGCCTGGGCTGGAACAATTCAACTATGAAGAAATACTAGATAGCCTGGGGTTGTTTTCCTTGGAGCTGACAAGACTGATAGGTAATCTGATTGAGGTGTACAAAGTTATGAGGGCCATAGGTAAGCCAAGATAGATAGAAATTTTCCCTTTTATTAGTTGAGTCAATAACTGGGAGGCACAAGTTTAAGGTAAGGAACAAGATTTTAAAGGTGATTTGAGGAAAAATATTTTCATCCAGGAAGTTATGGGTATCTCACTGCTTGAAAGGATGGTAGAGGCAGCAACCCTCGAGTAATTCAAGAAGTATTTAAATGCTCTAGCATTTGAGCAAAGTGCTGAAAAGTGGGATTAGATTGGACAGATGCTTGATGAATTGCTCAGACATGATTGGCCAAAGAGCCTCTTTGCATGCTGTAAAAACTGTGACACTAACATGCTGTCTACGAAGTTGATGCCAGGTTACTGGTGGCTACGTAGTTTGAAGCAAGAGTATTGTCTGGGACTTTACAAAGCGAAAAATTTCAAGTAGGTTTGTAATTTAAGAAACTTAATGGGGGTTTGCAGTTTTTAATGATGAGAATGAGTGACAGCTGTTGGGCTAAAGTAATAGTAGATGATGGTAAAAATTGGAAATATTGGAAATTAAGAGCTTGAGAAGAAATTGATCATTTGGTGAGAAGGGATTGAGAGAAAAGAGAAAGACCTTTCATGATCAAGATGAGTCTAGTAAAGGCAAGTTTAAGATTGGAAGTGAACTATGGAATGAAAGTTAATGGGAGGAATGGTGACCACAGTTAAGTTAATAGCTGAGAGTGGGGGGAGTTTAGAGCCATAGAGTCATACAACCCCGAAACAGACCCTTCGGTTCAACTCATCCTTGCTGACCAAGTTTCCCAAACTGAACTAATCCCACATGCCTGCATTTGGCCCATAGCCCTCCAAACCTTTCCTATTTGTGTACCTTTCCAAATGTCTTTTAAATGTTGTAACTGTACCTGAATCTACCATTTTCTTTGGCAGCTCATTTCACATACGAACCACCCTCTGTGTGAAAAAGTTGTCTCTCAGGTCCCTTTTAAATCTTTCTGCTCTCACCTTAAAATATGTCCCCCTGGTTTTGAACTCACCCACCCTAGGGAAAAGACCTTTGCTATTCACCTTATCTATGCCTCTCATGATTTTATAAACATCTCTAAGGTCACCCTTCAATGTTCTTTGTTCTAGTGAAAATAGTCCCATCCTATCCAGCCTATCTTTATAACTCAAACCCTCCATTCCCAGCAACATCCTTGCAAATCTTTTCTGAATCCTCTCCAATTTAATAATATCCTTCCTATAGCAGGGTAACCAGAACTGCACACAGTACACTAGAGAAGGCCTCACCAACATCCTGTACAACCTCATCATGATGTCCTAACTCTTATGCTTAGTGGTCTGACAATGAAGGCAAGTGAGTTAAACACCATATTAACCACCCTGTCTACCTGCGATGCAGTGAACTATGTACCTGAGCCCCTAGGTTCCTCTGTTTGACAACACCACCATTACCTTACCATTAACTGTATAAGTCCTGCCCTTGTTTGTTTTATCAAAATACAATATGTCACATTTATACAAATTAAACTTCATGTGCATTCCTCAGCCCAGTGGCCTAGTTGATCAAGATCCTTTTGTAATCATAGCTAACCTTGCTCACTGTCAACTACACTATCAATTTTGGTGTCATCTGCAAACATACTAACCATTGCCTCCTAAACTCTCATTCAAATTGTTCATATAAATGACAAACTGAAGTGGACCCAGCACCAATCGTTGCGGAACACTGCTGGTCACAGGCCTCCAGTCCAAATAACAGTCCTCCACCACCCTCTGTCCCCTACCGTCAAGACAATTTTGTATCGAGATTTCTCCTGATATCTTAAAATGAAAGTTTGAAGAAGCTGGAAGGGGGACGGGAGTGATTGTCATTAATAAGAGAATAGATGGAGTTGCTGCTGTTCAAATGATTTTGAGCAAGTAGATTTAGCTAGATCTAGAATTATTACTCAGAATAATAGGATGCAATGTCCTGTACAAGTTGATTTGTTTTAACTAGACGGATGTAGTTTTACGTTTAGTGAATGAATAAATGGTGATTTGATTCAAGTATTTTTGCCCGGTGGCTTTTACTGCATTATGATGATAGATTGTTTAATTTAATTTTTGTTAAAAATAAAAGCAATTTTAATCTTTAACTGTGCCATTGGCAATTTAGCTGAGCCTTCAAAACAGCATCATAATTGAGTGTTGTTTAGCATGTCTCTGGCATTGACAGTTAGATTGATCTATTTGCCTGCTAATGCAGGCACTCTCTCAGGTCCTCCTGCAATGTTAGAAAACTTGCGTTATGTCCCACTTGTAACATGTATGCTTTTTCTCAATAAAAATTCTTTATGCAAATTAATGAAAAGCAATAGACATAATGGGCCAATTTCTCTGTATGCTTTGTGACCTGTAAAAGGTGATCTGTTACGTAGTGCAGAATGAGGTCAAATAGTGTCTGCCTTTATTTGGTTCTCCCAGAAGCATATCTCTGTCACTACCTCCTTTAATGAAACCATGAATCCATTTTAAAAAAATGTATATGACTTTGGTGGGTTCAATTCAGTTTCTATGCATTTGTACCAAATATTTAAAAATAGAAATGTGCGACTTAGATACAGAGTATGCTTCTTAAGTGATAATCCTTGAACATTTCCCATGTCAAGCACCAAAATCTCTGTAACACTAGACTTTTCAAAGTTGTGCTTCCATGTATGTAATTCTTGCTGAATTTGATTTGATGAATTCTGACATTGTGGTCACAATGCACATATTAAGGATTAATTGATTTGCAGTGCAGTTATTTCATCATATTCCTCATCTGTACACTTTCAAGTTTATAAGACGTACAGAGTTTTCTTGGAACTCTGTATTAGAATCAAAAGGATGAGTTAATGTATTTTATAGACTCTGAATGTTTCCATTTCTTGAAAATATGACAGCAACAAATGTTTAAATTTTACTGTTGTTCTGTAAATGCATAAGTGGTATTAGGATAAACTGGTCACATTGTGTGCATTAATTCCCTGGAACTTCAAAATGATAGAGAGCTACCATACCACTATCAAATCTTCAATTACACATTTAAATCTGAATTGGACTATCCATATAAACATTGTGGTCAGGAGCTGAGAATTTTGCAGCAAGTAACCCCACTCTTGACTGTCCAAAGCCTGTCCATCATTTTCAAGGCACAATTTTGGAGTTTGGTGGAATAATCTTACTTCTCTGGATAAATGCAGCTTCACCAAAATTCAGGAAGCTTGACACCATCCCAGACAAAGCAATCTGCTTGACTGACATCCCATCTAATGCCATCAATGTTCACAATCTTTATTATAAATGCATAGAGACAGCAGTGTGTACCATCGACGAGATGCACAGTGACAAACTGTGGTCTCCTAAGACAACACCTTCCAAACATGAGCCCTCTACCACCTAAACAGATAGGATGGTAAATACCACCACTTGCAATTTCTCCTTTGAACTTCACACCATCTTGACTTGAAATTGTGTTGCCATTTCTTCTTATCATCAGGTCAGATTCTTGGAACTCCCTCCTTAACAGCACTGTGGGTGTACCTACATTACATGGACTACAATGGTTCATGAAGATAGCTAACCACCATCTTCTCAAGGGCACTTAGAGTTGGGCAATGAATTTTAGCATAGCCAGCTATACCCACATCCCATGAATGATTTTTTTTTAAAAATGTCTACTTGGACTTCAACAAGGATTTTGATAAAGTCTTGCATTGAAGAGTGATAGCAAAGGTAAGAGCCCATGAGTTTCAAGGAAATTTGGCAAATTGAATCCACATTTGGCTGAGTGGAAGGAAACAATGGGTGATAGTTGAGGGGTATTTTTCCGACTGGAAATCTCTGTGCAGTGGGGTCCCACAGGGGTCAGTGTTGGGACGGTTGCTGTTTGTGGTTTATACAAGTGATTTAGTCCTGAATGTAGGAAGTTGATCAGGAAGTTCTCAGATGATGCAAAAATTGATGGGGTGGTAAGTGATGAGGAGGATAACCTCTAACTGCAAGAGGATATAGGTCAAAACCGAAAGAACTGTGGATGCTGTAAATCAGGAACAAAACCATAATGCACTGAAGTAGCAGACAGAATATTGGAGTGGAAATTGGACAGACTGGAGCTGTTTTCCTTGGAACAGAGGAGACTGAAGGGGGACATGATTGAGATGTATAAAATTATGCTGGGCATAGATAGGGTACACATGAAGGAACTCTTTCCCCTTTGTGGCAGGATCAGTGATTCAGGGGCTTAGATTAAGGCAAGGGACAGGCGATGTGAGGAACTATTTTTCACTAGAGCGTGGTGAGAATCTGGACCTCACTGCCTGTAAGAGTGGTACAAGCAGAAACCCTCATAATATTTAAATACTTCTTGGGGTTAACAAAGGATATAGCAGGATATAGATCAGTTGGAATCTTGGGCAGAGAAATAGCAGATGAAGTTTAATGTGAAAAATGAGAGGTGATGCATTTGGGAGAACAAATGCGAGGAAAGTATACAGTAAATAGCAGGATCCTTAGGAGCATTGACATATAACGGGATCTTGGGCTACGAATCAATAGCTCCCTGAAAGTGGCAACCCAAGAGGATGAGGTGGTAAAGAAGATGCATGGCATATTTGTCTTTATCGTTCAGGGTATCAAGCATAAAAATTGGCAAGTCATGCCAATTGGGGAATTGTGTGCAGTTCTGGTCACGACACTATAGGAAGGATGTGGAGGCTTCGAAGAGGGTGGAAGAAATTTAAGAACAGTAAAGCATAGGAACAGGCCCTTTGGCCCTTCAAGCCTGTGCCGACACATTTTGCCTTTCCATACTAAAACGGTCTTCACTTACAGGATCTGTATTACCCTATTCCCTTGCTATTCATGTATTTGTCCAGGTATTTCTTGAATGCTGCTATTGTGTCTGCTTCCACCCTCCCCTCTGGCAGCATGTTCCGGGCACTCACCACCCTTTGTGTAGAAAAACTTGCTTTGCACATCTCTTTTAAATTCTCTACCCCCCCAATCCCCGTGCCTTCAACCTACGTCCCCTAGTAATTGACCCCACCACCCTGGGGAAAAAGCCTCATACTTTCCACTCTATCTACGCCATTCACAATCTTACAAACTTCTATTAGGTCGCCCCTCAATCTCTTGCGCTCCAGTGAAAACAAACCCAGTCTATCCAACCTTTCTTCATAGCTAAAATCCCCCATATCAGGCAACATCTTGGTAAAACTTTTCTGTACCCTTTCCAAAACATCCACATCCTTCTGGTAGTGTGGTGACCAGAACTCTGTACAATATTTCCATGATGCTGCCTGGATTGTGGTGTATTAGTTATAAAGAGAGGTTGGATAAACTTGGATTGTTTTTGCAGAGGCTGAGAGGCAACCTGATAGAAGTGTCTAAAATTAAGAGACAGGGATAGGGTGGATAGTTAGAGTCTTTTTGCCAGGGTGGAAATGTCAAATAATAGGGGGCATAGGTTTAAAGTGAGAGGGGAAATGTTTAAAAGAGATGTGCGAGGAAGGTTATTTGACGCAGACTGTAGTAGGTACCTGGAACGTGCTGCCAGTGGAGGTGGTAGAAGCAAAAGACCAAAATGCTGGATGCTGGAATATCAGAAACAAAAACAGAAATTGCTGGAAAAACTCAACAGGTCTGGCAGCATCTGTGGAGAGAAATCAGAGTTAACGTTTCAGGCCCAGTGAACCTTCAGAGATGTTATAAGCAGATGCAATAGTAATGTTTAAGAGGCACTTAGACAGACAATGAACAGGCAGGGAACTGAGGGATACTGAGCATATGCAGGAGATGAGGTCAGTTTAGAATGGCATCACGGTTGGCACAGACATGGTGCACTGAAGGGCCTGGGTTTGGAAGACTCTGTCTAATGGTTTTTGGTGAATTTCTGCACTGTATTTTGTAGATAGTACACACTGTCCATGTTTGAACCAAGGCTATAATGAGGTCAGGAGCTGAGTGGCCTTGGCGGAACGCAACTGGACATCATTGTTACTGAGCAGGTGCTGCTTAATAGCATTGTTGATGACACCTATCGCTTTACTAATTATCGAGACTAACAGCGTGATAATTAGCTGGGTTGGATTTGCTCTGGTTGCTATCTACAGGGCATGCATGGACAATTTTCCACATCGTCGGGCAGATGCCAGTGTTCTAATTATACTGGAAGAGCTTGGCTAGGGGAGAGGCACGTTCGGTAGCACAAGTCTTCAGTGCTATTGCTGGAATGTTGTTATAGCCCTCGGCCTTTGCAGTACGGAGTTTCTCCAATCTTTTCTTGATATCACGCAGAGTCAATCGAATTCGCTGAAGATAGTATCTGTAATGCTATGAACTGCTGAAGGAGGCTGCAATGGATCATCCATTTGGCACTTCTGGCTAAAGATTGCTGCGGGTGCATCAGACTTATCTTTTGCACTGATATGCTGGGCTCTTCCATCATTGAGGATGGGGATATTTGTGGACCTACCTCCTCTAGTGAGTTGTTTAATTGTCCGCTACCATTCCCAACTTGATGTGGCAGGACTGCAGATCTTTGATCTGTACCATTGGTTATGGGATCGCTTAGCTCTGTCACTTGCTGCTTCTGCTGTTTGGCATGCATGTAGTCCTGTATGGAAGCTTCACCAAGTTGACACCTCATTTTTAGCTATGCTTGGTGCTGTTCCTGGCATGCACTCCTGCACTCTTCGTTGAACTAGGGTTGATCTCCTGACTCGATAGTAATGGTTGAATGGGTGCTGTAAGGTTGCAGATTGTGCTGCAGTACAATTCTGCTGTTGATGGGCCACAGCACCTCATGTATGGCCAATCTAGAGTTGCTTCATCTGTTCAAAGTCTGTCCTATTAAGTACGGTGATAGAGCCATGAAACATGATGGAGGTTATTCTGAATATGAAGGCAGGACTTCATTTTCACAAGGACTGTGCAGTGGTCACTTTTACTAATGCTGTCATGGACAAATGCATCTGCAGCTGGAAGATTACTTAGGATGAGGTTAAGTATGTTTTTCCCTCTTGTTGGTTCCCTCACCACCTGCAGCTCACTGGAGGAGGCGGATCATAAATATCACCATCCTCAATGACGGAAGAGCCCAGCATATCAGTGCAAAAGATGAGGCTGAAGCAATCACAGCAATCTTCAGTCAAAAGCTAGATGATCCATTGCGACCTCCTTCAGTGGTCCAATATAGCAGCTATGCACTTTAGGACCCAACAAGCTCGAACAGTAGTGCCACAGCTGAGCCACTCTTGGTGGAGGACATTGAAATCCCCCACCCAGAGTACATTTTTTGCCCTTGCCACCCTCAGTGCTGACTCTGAATGTTGATCAACATGGAGGAGTACCAATTCACCAGCCAAGGGAGTACGATACGTGATGACCAGCAGGAGGTTTCCTTGCCCATGTTTAATCTGAAGCCATGAAACTTTATGGGGTTTGGAGTAAATGTTAAGGATTTCCAGGGCAACCCCTCCTGACTGTATACTGCTGTGCCACCACCTCTGCCAGGTTTGTCCTGCCAGTGGGACAGGATGTATCCTGGTGGTGTCTGGGAACATAGTCATACTCACAGAATTACACCTGACAGACAATGTCAGGCTGTTGTTTGACTAGTCTGTGAGACAGCTCTCCCAATTTTGGCATATGCTCCTAGAAGTTAGTGAGGAGGACTTTGCATGGTCGACAGGGTTGTTTCAGTCATGAAACAATCTGGTTTCCTTTCTTTGAGACTTTGGAGCAATTGATACAACTGAATGGCTTGCTAAGCCATTTCAGAGAGCAATTTCCAGAAAGCCGCAGCTTTGATTATTAGATTGGGTTGGCTGGTATCAAATGTTTCAGCAGTTGAATTGCCGCAATTGTCTGTGCTACTTCTGAGTTACTGGGAAATTTCATAAAGATTCCTGTTTGTGATTAGCATTCTGTTGATTAGCGTTTGCAGGAGCCAGCTTGGAAAGTGTATATATTTGCAAAGAAATTGAGACATAATTAAGTCTAATTGTGCATGCATGTATAGATATGCAGCAAGTGCATTAACTGCTTTTTTTCTTTGTTCAGTAAAGGAACGAACTCCATCAAATGGAAATCTTCATCTAGACACAATTGAAAGCATTGCTTTTGACAAAGGCTTGTCCCCTGATGTAATTGAGTCGCTTGTGGATGTGGCTATGAGTGCCAGACTTGGTAAAGTGTTCAATATTAATATTTAATACTTCTAAATTGTAATATTTAGAAGGGGACAAAATGGTCCCTTACCTGCTGACCTTACCAGGATTTTAATTTTCTGAAATGTTGGTTTATCACGATCACGCAAACATTCAAATATGACTATTCTATGACATTGATGATGATAAACTTGGCTATAAACACAACACTTTTTGTGAAGTATACAGTATCTTTTTTTCATGAACTTCCCCTTTTCACCAAAGTAAAATGCTAATAATTTCTATGTTAATTTTCACAGTTGACAGATTTAATATACGCCTTTTAAAGTGCCTTATTCCTGCTTCTGTAGTCCCTGAATGCGCAGTGACAAATGCTATCTCTTGGATGTGTACAAGAAAACCTACCATCACTGTCCAGGTGAGTCAGAGTAGAAAATAAGCAAATCGTAAAAAAGAGCTGATGTAGGCAGTTTGGCCCGTTGAGTCACACTGATGTTCTACCTCAATTCCACTTTTCTGCTTTGTATATGTATCACTTAGTTTGTTTTGTATCCCAAAATCCATTGACCTGTGTTTTGAATATATACCATGTCTAAGCATTCACACCCAAAATTCGTACCCCTTTGAATTCCTATTGATTAATGAGGGACAGAGGGCATTAAATGATAATTTGAATAGAAACAATGTGCAGGGGTATGGGGAAAAGGCAGGATCTAGCCTATCTGTAGTTACAAACCCACACCCATGCATGTTACGAGCAATAATTATTAGACAATACTGAAAATCAGAAACTCAAATGCTGCTTACAACATCTCCAGTCTAAAACCCAATGTGGGAGTTAATAATCGGCCCACCTAGTTCAACACAGAGCAGAAATTAAATCTAGCAGAGAGGGAACATCATATAAGAAATTAGAATTGGAATGAGCTGAAGGTAATGCTATTGCATTAAACAAAAAAATCACAATCAACTGTTGATGCTGGAAACTTGAAACAAAAATAGAAATTCCTGGCGAAATTCAGCAGATCTAGCAGTATCTCTGCAGAGAAAGTAGAATTGATGTTTTGGGTCCAGTGACTGTCTTCAGAAGTTTCTTCACCAATTTCCATTTTATATGCCATTACATTTGCATCTTAAAATCTGAGCAACAAAGTTTTTACAGTTTAAAGTCATGCCACTAATTAAAAGTCATGTCATTAAATAAAAGTTTGACATGCCTTTTTTTTGTGGTGAAATCAAGAGTCAAGCAAACTTAATTAAAATATTGGTCTTGGGCAGGAGCTATCAGGTAGGTCAGCTGCTCACTTCTTGAAATCAATTGCTTTTATTTGGAAAAATTACCAGTTTATTTTCTGTTATTTTTCCGGAAAGTGTCATTATTTGATTGTTGGTATTTTAAATTTCATGGAAGATTTCTGCAGCAAGAGTACAAGATGCTTATTAATTGCTAGAAAGTTCTGACTTTGTTTATTGATGCTTCTGTTCTGCTATATGATCTTTGCCCACAGATCTGCAAAAGGAGAGAATCCAGGTACACTCCTTTGCCACTCTGATCCCAGTTCCTAAGGGATAGCAGTTGTACCGTACCAGAATAGTAATCTTTTAAATATCATCTGTATCTTTGCTCTCATATGTTGGGAAAGGTGCTGAACATGAATTTAAAACCAGGCTTCTCTTGACATTGCCAATAACAAGGCTGTCTTAGTCCTGCCTCTCTCTGATTGTGGAAAGGATCTTCAGCAATGTCTTCCCTTGCTGGCCGATACTGTATCTTTGAGGACCTGATGGTTTGTCTTTGGTACTTTCTTCAATCATATGGAGTTCAAAATAATGCCATTTAGGTTGTGAGGTTTGTGCAAACTCTGTGAAAGAGCCACTCCCCTGCTTTTTCCGGAGGCCCAACATTTTTTTCCTCTTCAATTGTTTATCCAAGTTCCTTTTTGAATTTGTTTTGTTGCCTTTTTTGATACTGCATTCCAAATCCTAACAATTCTGAATTACACTGCAAATTGTCTTTTGTGCTTTTGCTAATCCCTTTATGTTAATGTTTGCTAGTAACCAATCCTTCTGTTACTGGAAACCATATTAACTATCAAAATAATTTAATGTTTTGAAAAATCCTGATTGAACCTCTCACTTAACCTTCTTTGCTGTGAAGAGAGCAGCCCGTTTTCTCTTGTCTATCCATATGACTGAAGCTTTCTAACTCTGGCATTATACTTGTAAATTTCCTCTGCAACAGGTTAAGAGATTCTGGTGTCTGAGAGCATTTGAAAGAGAGGAATCCTGAGAGTTCTGGAAAGGTGTTTTTGCAGTGTTTGGTGAATCACTCAGAAGGGACCTTGGATTTGAGAGAATTAAGACGCGGTTCAGAATTTGGGGGCATATGATGATTTTGTGATCAGTGTATAGGGTCTAGAAGTTTGTGAGTATATGAAGACATAAGGCTGGTGTTTTGAAGTAAAGGAAGGAATTGCTTTGTGGATGGTTAGCGAAAGGGTAAGCATTTCTGCCAGGGGGAGAAAGAGCAATGCTTATTTGCATGCAAATGGTCAACTGGCAAACAACAATGATTCTAGGAGCATGCTGTGTAAGAGTTAGAAGTTGTGATATCTTACAAATACATTTAGTTACATTAATTATTAGAATTGAAAAAAAATATATGTAATTGAATAAAAATAGATTTTCTTAGATTTCCTCCTAAGAATCATAGAATCCCTGCAGAGCAGTAAGAAGCCATTCAGCCCATTAGAACATAGAACATAGAACATTACAGCGCAGTACAGGCCCTTTGGCCCTCGATGTTGTGCCGACCTGTGAAACCAATCTGAAGCCCATCTAACCTAAACTATTCCATTATCATCCATATGTTTATCCAATGACCATTTAAATGCCCTTAAAGTTGGCAAGTCTACTACTTTTGCAGGCAGGGCATTCCATGCCCTTACTACTCTCTGAGTAAAGAACCTACCTCTGACATCTGTCCTATATCTATCCCCCTCAATTTAAAGCTATGTCCCCTTGTGCTAGCCATCACCATCCGAGGAAAAAGGCTCCCACTGTCCACCCTATCTAATCCTCTGATCATCTTGTATGTCTCTATTAAGTCACCTCTTAACCTTCTTCTCTCTAACGAAAACAGCCTCAAGTCCCTCAGCCTTTCCTCATAAGACCTTCCCTCCATACCAGGCAACATCCTGGTAAATCTCTTCTGCACCCTTTCCAATGCTTCCACATCCTTCCTATAATGCGGTGACCAGAACTGTACGTAATACTCCAAGTGCGGCCGCACCAGAGTTTTGTACAGCTGCAACATGACCTCATGGCTCTGAAACTCAATCCCTCTACCAATAAAACCTAACACACCAAATCTGCACCATCCTTCTGAAGAGCAGCCCCCCCAGACACACCCCTCACCCTATCCCCGTTAGCCCACAATGACCATGGCTAATCCACCTGCCCTGCACATCTTTGAACACCACAAACGACGTAGTATGACCAACCCACCTAACCTGTCCATCTTTGGACTGTGGGAGGAAAACGGAGCAGCTGGAGGAAACCTTTACAGACACTTAAGAGAGGACGCAAACTTCATGCAGACAGTCACCAACGGCTGGGATCGAGCCCGTAGACACAAGTTCAAGTCCCACCTACTCTGGGAGTGTGCATTAATATTGTTGAACAAGATGGTTAGAAAAATATCTCTGTTTTTGGAGCAGGAGGGACATGAATCCAGGCCTCCTGGTCCAGAGTTAGGGGCGCTACCAATGCACCATGAGATCCCCATTTAGAAACCTCTTCAATTGACATAGAAATTGAACACTGCCTGAAGTTAATTTATCTCTTTTGCAGGTGCTGTTTATCAGATGGTTGATAACGGTCTTTGATCTTTTGGATTCAAAGAAGCAATTGCACTCATTGTATGGCATCATTTTCTTCTATCTTCAAAATGACAAGTTGGTAAGAAATGCTATATTTTGTCCCTGATTAAGTGAAGTGGATGCAATGGACATAACTGAATGCTAAGAAAGTAGAGTGGAACTGTTATCTGATAATTGACTAAAGCTGTTGTTTTCCCACAATGAAGACTGGACACTTTATTCTTATATTTGGAATAGCTGGTTGAAGGTTTTGGAAGTTTCAAGAAAGACACTAGCAAGGTTGAAAAGAGGGAGTATGTGTAGAAAATTGGAGCCCAAGAAGAAGCTACCATTTTTGATGTTGAAAATTTCATATGACCTGGCAGGATTGTGTGTTCCAGATTTCCGCCATCCTTTAAGTGGGGAAAGTGCTTCCTAATTTATTTGCTAAATACATGGCTCTAATTTCAAGAGAATATCCTCTTGCTTCGTACTTACCCATGAGTATCTCAGTATCTAACGTATTATTTTATTCAACTAAACTCCATTCAAGCTTCTAAACACAAGAGGTATGATCAAATAACTTGTGCTGTAAGCACCCACTGACAATTCTGTTTCTTTAAAAATGAATTAATAATAATTAAACATTTTGGACGCATGTTAATTTTTTATAATGTACCACATGACTTAACTGTATCTTTAAACCACAGTTAATCGAATTTGGTCATAACCTGTAATAGTAGCTATTTAGTGTGCAAAGAAAACTTAGAATGGTTTAGTTTTACAACTATTTCTGTCTAAAATCATTCACATCAAAATATTTATCTTCAGCCTTTTGCTTTTTCAGTTGTGCTTTAGGCAATATTTCTTTTTGTTTCAGTGTCCCTATATATGTCACCTATTGTACCTGCTAACTAAAAAGGAAAATGGTAAGTAGCAAAAGCAGCAGTAAAACATGCCATTGCATGATAAATGTCACTGTTATCAATATGTGGAGAATCAAATTGTGACTCTCTCTGTGATCCAAGTACATTCTTTGCTAATTATGTTTAAGAACATATTTCCAGTGTTGATGGTGTTCAATACAAGGTAAAGTGATGGCAGCCAATATATTCAATTGAGATATAGCATTTTTTTTTTTGCCCAGTTGAGCCACATGAAATTTTTTTTTGTTCTGTATTACTCAATGCAGTTCGTAGTTTAATAACATAGGATTGATCTGGTCAAAAATGCTTGTTATTTGAGAAATTGTATTTGATCTTGGTTGATAGCTATGATGCCTGAGAAACCATAAATAGATTTTGAAAGAATACCAGTGGACCCTTCCAGATGACAGAATCAGGATAGAAAAGAAACTGCAACCTATTGTACCTTGCCACTTACTTTAATTTGTAGCATGAAATTTTAGTGTCACGTTGTGTTATTAACAAGAGCATGCGGCCATACAACATAATTAACATACGAAAGCTGCATAAATTTCTTCACAGTGATGATGTGATTTTTTAAAAATAAAAGACAAGTCAGAAAAATTAAGTATTAAATGGGGTGACCAAAAGTGTGGTCAAAGAAACGATTTGTTTTAGAGAAGTTCGCAAAGCAAAATGAAGTAGAGTTGCAGTGTGTATTATGGAGAGAATTCCGAAGTGTTGAATCCGAAGGGTCTGAACTCATAGCTGCCAGTGGTGGAAGGAAGTTGGAGAAGATATTCTGGAGACCAGTGTCAAATGAATGGTGAATTTTGGATAGGCAGGTGAATATTCAAGATAAAAGGGAAATGTCCATGGAGAGACTTACATTTAAGAAAAGTTTTATATTTAATGGTCAGGAGCCAGATTAGCAAAGACCAAAGGTAGGTGAGCTGGACTTGGTGCAGGATTTGATATTGGCAGCAGTGTCTGAGTGAATTGAAGTTTGAGGGAAAAGTGTCAGACTGATCAGGAAAAGATTGAAATAGTCAAGTCTGGCTCTGTCATTGGCATGGACACAAAGATTTCAGCAACAGATTGGCTGATGTTAGTCTGCTACTGTCCAGTGTTATAAATGGAAGTATACATCCTTGTGACGTAGAGTTCATAGAATCCCCAATGTGGAAACAGACCATTCAGCCCAACATGCCCACACAGACCTTCTGAAGACCATCCCAGGCAGATCCATCCTCTAATCCTATCCTTGTATTTCCCATAGCTAATACACACAACCTACACATCAATGAACATTATGGACAATTTAGTATGGTCAATCCACCTAACTTGCACATCTTTGGACTGTGGGAGGAAACTGGAGCACCCGGCAGAAACCCACACAGATGTGGGGAGAATATGCAAACTCCACACAGACAGTCGCTTGAGGCTGGAATCGAACCCGAGTCCCTGGTGCTGTGAGGCAGCAGTGTCTTTGGAAGCTCACCTTAGAGTTTAATAGGATAGAAGATTGTGGACAGTCTGGGTTGGCACTAGGGCAGTATTTACAATGTGTGGCGAAATTAATGTGGGTATGCAGAGTTTTACCAAGTACCTTGAACATGGTTTGAGAGATACTTTGAGATTCACAAAAGCAGTTTGTGTCATTTAAAGTAAAAAATTTATCCATTATAAAGATGGAAATACTCAAAAATGTGGGAGTAACTATGTAGTTTCTTGCTGGCAGACTTCATGACCAGTTATGGATAAGATAGTTATTCCAAGGCTGGGATGACCACAATTATGTTTAGCTACAATGTGCCAAAATTTATACTTTCCTATGTAAAATCACATTTGGAAAATACCTTACCCTCCTCCTAACTTGTCATTTCAGCGTGTTTAATTTAGTATCCTGAGCTTCAAATCTATATTTTACTCTCTAGTTTTATTTCTTTGTGCTCCTACACATTTAAGTCTTGATTGTGGTCTTTTGTCAATTTCTTCCCCGCCAACCCTAGTGCTTGCTCTATCATTTTCAAGTTGACTCCAGAGACTTAGATAACGAGGTGTAGAGCTGGATGAACACAGCAGGCCAAGCAGCATCAGAGGAGCAGGAAGGCTGACGTTTCGGGCCTAGACCCTTCTTCATTTTCTGAATATTCCGCTTGGGAACCCTGCGGCCCAATGGTATCAATGTGGACTTCACAAGCTTCAAAATCTCCCCTCCTCCTACCGCATCCCAAAACCAGCCCAGCTCATCCCCGCCTCCCTAACCTGTCCTTCCTCCCACCTATCCCCTCCTCCCACCTCAAGCCCCACCCCTATCTCCTACCTACTAACCTCGTCCCACCCCCTTGACCTGTCTGTCCTCCCTGGACTGACCGATCTCCTACCTCCCCACCTACACTCACCTTTACTGGCTCCATCCCCGCCTCTTTGACCGGTCTGTCTCCTCTCCACCTATCTTCTCCTCTATCCATCTTCAATCCGCCTCCCCCTCTCTCCCTATTTATTTCAGAACCCCCTTCCCCTCCCCCATTTCTGAAGAAGGGTCTAGGCCCGAAACGTCAGCCTTCCTGCTCCTCTGACGCTGTTTGGCCTGCTGTGTTCATCCAGCTCTACACCTTGTTAAATCACAACATTCCATTTGCTTTTTTTTTAATTACCTGCTGCACCTGCAAACAAACCTTTTTGTGATTCATGCGCAAGGACACCCAGGTCCCTCTGCAGAGTAGCATGCTGCAATTTAAATAACAGTCCATTTTGTTGATACTCCTACCAAAATGGGCAACCTCACATTTATCAACTTTGTATTCCATCTGCCTATTCACTTAACCTATCTATATCCCTCTGTAGACTTTCAGCGTCGTCTGCGCGCTTTGCTCTACCAGTTATCTTAGTGTTGTTATGGACCAGACCAGAACCTCTCAAAATAATTTAAGAAGGTAGCTTAAACCTTAACTTTCTCTTATTTTAAAAGCAAATGTAAAGTGTCCACTCCAGCTGCAATGTGATTGGTCAAACTACTCAATGTTAAGTAAAACGCAATTTATTTAAACACTGTAGTTAAAACACAACCAAAGAAAGAGGAATTTGGTATAACTTAATTCTTTTGGAAAACTTAACAGAATAATAGATACGGTAATTATTACTAATTCAGAAACAAAAAACAGAAGTTGCTGGAAAAGCTCCGCAAGTCTGGCAGCAGCTGTGAAGAGAAATCAAAGTCAACATTTTGGGTCTGGTGATCCTTCCTCATGACCAGACCCAAAACGTTAACTTCGATTTCTCATCACAGATGCTGCCAGACCTGCTGAGCTTTTTCAGCAACTTCTCTCTTTGTTCCTAATTTACAGCATCCGCAGTTCTTTCGGTTTCTGACTATTACTAATTAACTGTTTCAATGTAGGAACATCCATAAACACGTACCTTGGCAAAAAAAGGAAAGTTTAGACACAGATTCTTACATGTAGTTCTCCAATTCAGGAGGGGAAAAAGTCAACAGAAAATTCAGAGAGTAGCAGCAGCCAGGAGACACCTCACTGAACCTTCTAACTCTGTTGAGTCCCCAGTAGCTTCTGATGCTACTGAAAAACCAAAACCCAGAAATCCTGATCTGAGAGAGCTGGCCATACCCATTCAAGTGGTTTAAATAAAAATCCAAAGCCTCCCAGTTGTTTACTCAAGTGATCATAGCTAGCCAGCTCAGCATCTCTGCCTTACGACCTCTCTTCAAAACAAAAGGACAAATTAACCTCTTAAAGTGACATCATCTTTACAATGTCATCTGTGAACTTTGACATAGTAATTTGGTCCCCAACTCCAAATCATCTACATGAATTGTAAACAATTGAGGTCCCAACACTGATCCCTGAGGCACACCATGAGCCACTGATCACCAACCAGAAAAATACCCATTTATCCCCACTCTTTGCTTTCTGTTAGTTAACCAATTCTCTATCCATACTAATACATTACCCATAAGGCCATGCACCTTTATCTTATGCAGCAGCCTTTTGTGTGGCACCTTGTGGAATGCCTTCTGAAATCCAAATAGACCACATCCAACAGTTTCCCATTATCCACCAAGCTGGCAATGTCCTCAAAGAATTCCAGTAAATTAGTTAAACATGACCTGCATTTCAAGAGCCCATGCTGCATCTGTCCAATGGGACAATTTCTATCCAGATTTCTTCCTTATTAAATTCTGAAGTGGGGAAAATGCTTGAATCTAAGCTAATGGACCTATAGTTAGATGCCTTTTGTCTACCTCCTTTTTAAACAGTGGTGTCACATTTGCTGTTTTCCAATCTGCCAGAACCGCTCCAGAGTCCAGTGAATTTTTGTAAATTATCACCAACACATTTGCTATTTACCATTGTCATCTCTTTTAGTACCCTGGGATGCATTCCGTCAGGGCCAGAAGACTTCTTGTGCACCTTTTGTGCTATTAGCTTGCCCAACACTGTCTCTTTAGTGATAATGACTGTTTCTAGGTCCTCACCTTCTTGTCCTCAATTATTGGCACGCTGTTTGTTTCTTTCACAGTGAGGACCGACACACACTATCTGTTCAATGCCTCAGCCATTTCCTCATTTCCCATTATTAAATACCCCTTCTCATCCTCTAAAGAACCAATGTTTACCGTAGCCACTCTTTTTCATTTTATATATTTGTAGAAAGTTCTGCTATCCGTTTTTATATTCTGAGCTTGTTTACTCTCATAATCTATTTTATCTTTATATCTTTTCTCGTGACTTTCTGTTGACCTTTTAAAGATTTCCCAATCCTCCAGATTCCCACTAACTGCTTCTACTTTGTATGCATTAGCTTTCCATTTGATACCCTCTTTATTTCCTTAGTTATCCATGGCTGGTTATCCCTTTTCCTCCAGCCCTTCCTTTACACTGGTATATGCTTTTGCTCAGCACTGTGAAAAATCGCTTTGAAAGTCCTCCACTGTTCTTCCATTGCCCGACCATTTTGTCTTTGCTCCCACTCTACCTTAGCCAATTCCTCCCTTGCCCCATTGGTTCAGATCGGTGAAGAGTATACCATCTATACAGTTGTAAGGGCAAGTGGAAGATATATGAAAGGTCAATTTTACGGAACCTTAAGTGATTAGGGAAAGATAACTACCAACAAAAATTGGACAGAGTGAAACTAGAATTGAGAGCTAGGGTTTTATATTTAATGCATTGAAGCAATAGACCATTTAAGTTAGCAATGATGGAATAATTGGTAAATTGTGTGACGATACTATGGCTTTAAGAGGTGTATTTTGTCCTGGTTTCTTGTTTACTGATGACAGGTTGAGACAGAGGTGCGCAGTGCTGAGTTGCAAACCAATAAAGTAAATAGCTTGTGAGGCCTTGGGTTCTACTAAGGGTTTTTAGGGGATTTACTAAATTGGAACAGCTAATCAGTGGTAATTAACTTGGTAATATTATCTTGTTAAGTATTTCAATAGAGTTACAGTTCAGTTATTTTTATTTTATTCTTATTTTGTTTGTGTTTTAACTGTAGTGTAAGAATAAAGTGTGTTTTGTTTCCAGCCTGGTAGCTTGACCAATCAAATTGTATCTGGAACACAACACTTTACACTTGCCTTTAAAAATAAGAAAAAGTTGGGGTCTAGGCTATATTTTTACTATATTTTGAGGGGGTTTAATCTGATCCACAACAACTGGTACTGGTAGATGATGGGATACTGATCATAACATTTTGGAAAAATTGGAAACTGTGAAAGGCTGAATACATGTTGAAAAGGAGGCTAATGGCATAATTGATTCTGGAGATGACAAGCAAAGCTGAGAGCTTCAGTGATGGACGGACAAAGGCAGGATGTATGAGGTATAAACTATATGGTTCAAATTTAATGATTAGTCAGGAAGTGGACCTTTATAGAGTGGAGTACTGATAATTACCACTCATCTGTGTCTTGATATCAGACTACAACCTGCGAGACAAGAAGTGATTTCAGGAACAGAATCATTGGCATTAGCCTGTATCAGTGGATGATGTCACCAATGGACACTGTGAGCATAAAGAGGTCATGGCTAAGTGTAGATTCTTGGGTAGCTTCAAAACTAGGCTTGTTTTTGTGTCTCAGCTGCTTAAAATTGCCTTTGGATCAGCTTGAGTAAATTTCTCTCATTAACTTGAGTCACGTTGAAGTCGCATATTCATAGTTTAAACTTAGGATGCCAAGAATCATTTGCACTGAACCCGAAGAAGAGTTAACGTTAGGGTGAGAAATGACTAACTGCCTCTGGTGTGGATTTTTGCCTTTCCTGAAGTTACTTCAATTCTAGGGCCAACTATAGAGATCTTGGTGTCCAGCAAGTTTGATTACAATGCAGAATATGATATTCCATAAATATAAAGTTAGAATTTTGATACTTGTGGATGTTTAGTAATTGTGAACTTAGTATGTAGTTATGCCTTATTCAGAAATGTATAACTTTTAAAATGCATTTTTGTAGTGAGACTATTCCACAAAAGTGGAAGCTCTTGTGATTGAGGAAAATAAGATCAGTAGTAGATCATTCTACCTTTTGAGCCTGTTCCATCATTCTAGATCATGGCTGATCATCTACCTAAATGTTATTTTGCTACACTATCCCCATTTTCCTTGATGTTATTAGTTACCAGTGTCCTCAATCTCTCCTCATATGACTGACTGTTCCACCTTTCCAGAAATTGGTGTGGTGAACCTGTGTTGCAATCGTAATGGTTTCAAATATGAACAGTTCATCCTGTGGAACAGCACAAAATCACTGACAGCATCTTTTGGATTTCTGCATTTATCTGCATATATGTGGAAATCAGGTGTTGCAGTATGTTTCACATTTCTATTGCAGCCACAGACTTGGACACGTTACATCTGTTCCAACTCAAGTCCTGGTTAGAGAATATAGAAATCCATCTGTGCTCTTGTTTAAAATGTCCAACTTTTTTGGCAGCAGTTATGATGAGGTGTCAGTTCCAAAGGACTGCTGGATGGAACAGTTCTACCTTTCAGTGAGAGGTGAAAGTAGAAAAAAGATGAACAGAAGTGTACGTTTTTAAACTGTTTTGGTTGACAATTTCTGATAAAATGCCAATTGGGAGATTGCTAAATCATTGTGCTACTTCTGGCTAGATACATAATATTCTTACCTGAAAGTAAAAATTTTAAGTTTGAGCAGCCTTGAGAGGGTGGAAAAATAAATTCTCCAGAAACATCTCGTATGCAATATGGAATTGTGACATTTGAGGCAATGCAATAATTCCTGATTTCTGTTGTCTTTTTTTGGATCTTGAAGCTTTAGTGTGGGATTAGCATTTGCTTTTTAATTTGTAAAAATACCACTTTTTTATGTTGTACATTCCTGTTATTTCACAGTTAAACGATTCAGAGTCAAGAAGCTGATTGATCTGCAGGCCAAAATGGTAAGGTATATAATTTTGGTTTTGTATCATCTTGTAGGTTGATCAGTCTTTGGAACTCTTCTTCAAAAAGCAGGAGAAGCAGAGCCTTTGAAAACTTTTAAGGAAGAGGTGGACTTGATTTTCTTTAAGCAAGAGAGTGAGGGGCTATTGGGTGTATCTGAGAATGTGCGTTGAGATTACAATCAGATAAACTATGTTCTTAAACCAATATTGTCTTTTGGGTTCAGTGACCTTCATTCAGAACTAACGGTAGCTAGGAAAATGTTGATATTTGTGCAGAAGATGGGGTGGAGGAGGGTGAGGATTAAATGCTGCTTCACCTGGAAGGGTAGTTGTGACCGTGGATAGTGACCAGACCTCTAATGTTAATTCTGCATTTTCTGGCGGATCCATTGCGCTTTTCCAGCAATTTCTGTTTTTGCTTCTGATTTCTAGCATCTGTAGTTCTTTAGGTTTTTTTGTTTTTAAACCAAGATCTTAGTTGAGAGAGCAGTCTCAAGGAGTGAAATGGCCTGCTCCTGCTTGTTTGTATGTTTATATGTGGATATGACTAGTTAGGCAGACTACTCGGTTGTATGTGGAGAGATGTTTAGGTTACCACATTTAAAGTCTTGCATGGAGTGCCATTGTATTGGAATACTGCAGACTATTTTGGTTTGGTTGAGCAAATGAGTGTAATAATAGATTGAGACCAGCGAGTGGAAGGTACTAATGAAGAGAATGAAGGAGAGAGATGTATTTAGTGTTTTTAATATTACATAGTATATAATTCTATATTTGCTACCATTAGCTATTTTATTTTATTGATTGCATGCCAACTATAATTGCATATTGTGGCTGGCAGTTCCTCACTATGACCACAATATTGCAACTACGATATAGTTTTATGCAGGACATGAAAATTTTGAATACACTATGCAGGCAATGAGAGCAGGCGAAGGGCAAATGCAGTTGTGATGTGAGGAAAGACAGCAAAATCAAGGCTTGGGCTCATATGGTTGTGAAACATCATAAATATGTCAGTTAATTTTCAGCACTATTGTTTATAATTAATCCAGGGGATAAATCTCCCCAGTTGTGTAAAGAGGGAATTGGGTTTATTGATTTGCAAAGCTAAATTCACATGAATGCACAAGATAAACCCGAAAAATTACCTACAGTTTCTGAGGTCCTCTGTTACACTAAGAAAATGTATCCTGCCTGTGTGGTTGTGTAATGTGATCTACTCAAAAATGTAACTCCAAAGGCCTTTTATTTTTCTATTGTGTGCAATCCTCTCTGCTTGGTCATGCAACAGAATTTGTCTTTTTTTGTCCTCCTCCATTAAGTTCCTTTAATCTATTTTCTTTACTTTGAAACTTAACATTTCTTTCTTTACTTATTTGTCCAAGAAAGAAATATATCCTCGCATGATTTTTAGTAAAAAAAAAACCTTTGAAAGCTGCCACTTTTTGCTGTATAGCAACATGCTTGGATTAAATAGAAAAATGATATACATTTGCACATTGAGGACCAAGTACAGCATAAGTTAATAATCCAATTGCCAATTTGTTCAATTTCATCTCACGTAAATGCTTATTCATTTGTGGGACTGTCTCACTTTAGCATTATCAATATGTTTTGAAATGAAAGCTAGCACAACCTTTAATTTAGTGTACTCTTGAGGAAATTCCATTTAAAAACTTAGCTGTTCTTAAGTTGCCCGTAAATTGAACTATGTTTTTAGTAATCCAAATTTGATCTTTGATGTATACTTGGACCTATACCTGAGACAAAGATATAAATAATACACAACTTGCGTATTTCTGAAAAACATGTTTTGTTGAAACTTTTCACCTTCACGCATCAGAACATTTTGCAAGAATATCAATTCAATGGTCCTATTATGCCACTATGTTGCTTCAATAAACCATAAACAGCACCTGTTCAAAACACACCCACACTGGAAACTCATTTAAACAGAAGAGTTTAGCAATGCAATTAACAGTGCCATTACACGTATAAATCTCTCTTACCTATTCTGTTTAAAACCTTTGACAAAATCACTTTTTTTTTCAGCCTATTCTCCAACTCAGCCGTTTTATGGACACCATTGCTGATACTAACTTTTTTCAATTGCAATTTTGTTTATTTCATCAATTGAATTCAAATTGAGTTATTACAGCAGTATTTGGGCTTGTGTCTCTAGACCATTAGCCCAGACATTTGCTTTTGTTACTGAGCTAATAATCCAGTCTGCTACCATTCCTGAAGTACATACATGCTGATTTGTTTGTTTTTCTTTTTAATCTGTATATTGTACTGCATTCTATGATGTTGTTCAAATCAGTGGTGGAGTTGAAACACAGTTGTCAGCAATGTTGGGCAGTGAACAATGATGGACAATGTGAGTGATCTGGGTGATGGAGAGGAAAATCAAGTGAGAGGGTACTAATCAGAACATAACAAAAGTGTGTTGAGAAACCCAGTACTCACCATTTTGCGCTTCCAGTTGGATAGTGTTGCTCTACATTGTGTTAAAGAAAGGCTGCATCTTTCTTCAGAACGCAGGTAAATTAGGCTAGAATGTAGCAGCGCTGGGAGTAGTTAGAAGAAACAGTCTTCTCCATGTAGCATCTTTGATGATCAAGTTTCGTCAAACCACAAGTTAATTACAGAGCAGGGCAATGGACGCAGACCCCAAGTCTACTTCAGTTGGAATGGGAGTCATACTGTACGCTCTTGGCAACAATCTGAACTACATTGTAAACATCTAACAGACTGAAGTGTATCTCTCACACAGTCAGACACACTCCAAGAATAGCTACTGAGAAATTAAGCAGCCATTTCATGCTGCCATCAGATCAACTGAAACTGGGAGCTACATCTAGAAGTGATATGTTTTGTCATGCCACATAATTATGTTGAGAACAATTTGTTAATGTGAACTAACCCTGATTGTAGACCTAATCTTGGTATGCTTCCTAAGTGGTCCTCAGTTCAGTAAAGTAGTAGTGAATAGTAGACAAGGAAGAGGAGCTGTTGCCATCATGGTTAAAACACACAACCTTTAAAGTGAGGGGCAGACCAATCTGATTGTCAGCGTCATTACAGCAACAGCGTGTCATTTCCTTGGCCAGTTAAAGGGTGAATTAAAACAAACCAGAAAATATTGGAAATACTCAGCAGGATAGACAGCATCTGTTGGAAGAGAAATGGTTCATTTTTCAGGTCTGAACTTCTGTCACGCTGGCGTGTATGCTTTTTCTGAAAGAAAAACAGTCTTTCTCTCAGTTTTACTTTCATTTTGGGCAGTTCTCTTAAGTACTTGGATGGAGCTGAGAAGGGGAAAATATTGCGAAATAGCTTTGAGTTAGTCATAGCCGCAAACCAGAAACTTTGGCATAAAACCTTGAAGAAGTTACTTGAAGTTGGGTATGTTTAGCTTCAAGTGTACAATAGCTCAAGAAGAAGCTATAAGTGTTTCCAGTCTAGCAGTAATTGTCACAGTCACCTTAAACCTTTTGAGTTTTTTGGAGACTTTTTCCTCTGGTATGAGTGCTGTACAGAGCATGTTCTTTTAATTTTAGAATTTAAAAAGGGTTGTTTTGGAATTAATGAGTTTATACTTTTTACTGTGTGTTTAAAAATCTTTTGAGTTTGAGTTAGAATAAATCAAACTATTTATTTATATTTTGTCACCTTTTGTTTTGGTTGATAAAATTCTTTTTTATTGTAAAATAAAATCTGCAACATTCTGTATTTACTTTAAGTGAGATACCACTTTCTTAAAATGAAAAAAAATCAAAATATGATCTATCAAGTCATGTTCTAGTCTGGGATCTGTAAATTCATCAGCTGGGATCATCATGACTGAAAGTTGTCCCACACAGGATAGTGAAAATTTGAAATCAGTTTTCCTTAAAGTCTGTGTATGCTTGGAATTGAAATTTCCAGAAATGGGATTGTGAGGTAAGGACATTAGTGATATGGAACAAAGTCAAGTAAGTGGAAATGGAGTACTGATCCCTCAATCCAAGTAAACAATAGGACAAGCGTAAGTGGTTAAGTGGCCTACTCTTTTTATTTCCTGTGTTCCTGCTGTTACTTGTTAGAATGAAGAATGGTAATGAAGGTATGAAAACCATATGTGTCCATATTATGCCTTAATTTTGTCAAAAGCTAATAAGCTGTTGCGTGCATACAGATGTTGTCATTTATTTTTCAGGGAATGCAACCACACCTGATGGCTCTTCTCTTGCTATATAAGATCCATGCGCCTGAATATGTGTGTTTGGCTTGTGCTGGACAACCCAAGGTTTGTTGTCTTAAACATTTGTAAAAAATTATATAAATATATACCATTTGCTAGTATACACTTTTTGATGCAAAATGTTAATCTATTTTGAGGTGGAATTGCAATTGGGTGCAAAATCTCGACTTTGGACTGCTTTCTTTACTGGGGCCAGTTGACTACATGGCTGATTTGTGATGCAGAGTGATGCCGACAGTGTGGGTTCAATTTCTGCACCGGCTGAGATTACCATAAAGGACACTCCTTCTTAACCTTTTCCCTCACCTGAGGCATGGTGACCCTCAGGCTAAACCACCATTAGACGTCTCTCTCTCATGAGAGAGCAGCCCTACGGTCCAGAAAGACTACGATGACTTTACATTTACGTTTCTGAAAGACAGATTTCTTTTGATTTTGACAGGTTTTCTTTTCTTTCACAGTGGAAGTGGGAGTTTGAAATTCTTTAACTGTGACAACCCAGTGAGAATTTTTGTTGGTAGGAATGTTAGAATTAAAAAGTAAATCATCAACTAATCAATATTTTTCTTTTAACAATAGCTTGTATTTTCTTTCTTTGTAATGATACATAACTATTATGAGATTATCGTCTGCCTGAACTGTAATTTTTAAGAGCCTGTTGTTAAATTGTTCCACATGAAATTTTGTTGCATCTAAAACAAATGTATTTAGAATCCTGAAGTTGTTAACTGACTAGTTAGCTGAAAACACTGTATGTCATAAATCAAGCACAGTACAGGAAATATTATTACTAGGACTTTTTCCCAGAAGGACAGGGTAGTGAAAAAGGCATTTGGTACGCTTGCCTTTATTGGTCAGTGCATTGAATATTGGAGTTGAGATTCATTTTGCTGCTGTACAGGACATTGGCTAGGCCAGTTTTGGAATACTGCATTCAATTCTGGTCTCCTTGCTATAGGGAGGATTTGTTAAACTTGAAAGTGTTCGGAAAAGATTTACAAGCATGTTGCCAGGGTTGGTGGGTTTTGAGTTATTGGGAGATGCTGAATAGGCTGGGCCTACTTTCTCTGGAGCATCAGAGGCTGAGGGGTGACCTTACAGAGGTTTATAAAATCATAAGGGGCATGGATAGCGTGAATAGCCAAGGTCTTTTCCCCAGGATAGGGGAGTCCAAAATTAGTCGGCGTAGGTTTAAGGTGAGAGGGGAAAGATTTAAAAGGGACTTAAGGGGCAACTTTATCCCACAGAGGGTGGTGCGTGTTTGGAATGAACTGCCAAAGCAAGTGATGGAAACAGTTGATATTACAACATTTAAAAGGCATCTGGATGGGAATTTGAATAGGAAGGGTTTGCAGGGATATGGACCAAATGCTGGCAAATGGGACTAGTTTAATTTAGGATGTCTAGTCAGCATGGACGAGTTGGATGGAAGAGTCTGTTTCCGCGCTGTACATCTGTGATTCTATGATTCAATTAAAACTTTGTAATCCTGAAAACTCAGTACTTTCAATGTTGTATAATAACCACAACAATTTCATACCAATTATTTAAGCTAGCCTGTCCTTTTACATTTGCAATTTGTTTGTACAAGTACAACGAAAAACATTTCTATTGTTTGAAGCAATTTATTTGACTAATTTACAAGGTTAGCAAGACAATTTTTTTTATTTGAAGGTGCTTCGACCTATTAATGTCAGCTGAGGGGAGGGATGTATGAATGAATCTTTATGCTGCCAGAACTTTTATATAGATGTATATTGCACTGAAATGCACTAGCACGCTGCATTGCTTGCATTGTGCACAACAAAGTATTAAGAAATTAGTATTAAGAAGTACTCCTTGGAGTCTGAAAATTGTAGAACTTTCATATGTCAATACCTTTTGGACGGTATGATTTATAATAGATTGGAGTCTTACTCCGAGAACATACAGCACAAGAGCAGCCCCTTTGGTCCTCCATGTCTGTACTATCCATGATAATATTCTAAACTAATACTATCTGCATGCATGTAGTCCATTTCCATCTTTTTCCTGCCTGTTCATGTGTCTAAACGCCTCTTAGACTTTGCTAACATATCTGCTTCTACCACCTCTCCTGGCAGCAAGTTCCAGGCACCTACTATCCTATGTGTAAAAACAAAAACTTTCTTTGCACATCTTCCTTAAACTTTTCCCCTCTCACTTTAAAGCTGTGCGCCCTAATAATTGACATTTTCACCATGGGAAAACGTCTCCGACTATCCATCCTATTCATACCTCTTGTTATTTTATATATTTCAATCAAGTCTCCCCACAGCCTCCAGTGCTCTCGCAAAAACATTTCAAGTTTGTCCAACTTCTGCTTAAAGCTAATACGTCTAATCCAGGCAAATCCTGGTAAACCTCTTTTGCACCCTGTACAAAACCTTGACATCCTTCCTATAGTGTATATGTGTGGTGACCAGAGCTGCACACAACACTCCAAACGTGGCCTAATGAAAGTTTTATACAGCTGCAGCATGACTTGCCAACTTTTATACGGAATGCCCTGACCGATGAAGGCAAGTATGCTGTACTCCTCCTTTACTACTTATCCACATGCGTTCCCAATTTCAGGGAGCTATGGACTTGCACCGCAAGGTCCTTCTGAGTATCAGTGCTGCTAAGGTTCCTGCCATTTCCTGTATATTTTTAATCTTGCATTTGACCACCCAACATGCATCACCTCTCGCTTGTCAAATTAAACCCCATGTGCTATTTCTCTGCGTCACTTTCCAACTGATTTACATTCTGTATTCTTTTATAACCCTCCTCACTAACATATTTTTGAGTCTGAGCGCTGATATTCAGTCTGTGGACTGTTCGATTTAAATCTGCCTATGCTGTGATTAAAACTCAATCCAGGAGCCAAAGACCAAAGTAATTCTGGTTGAATTCTCACATGAAATGTTAATCTATTTTCTTCCCTTCCACAGATGTAAACTGATGTGTGCATTTCTAATAGTTAACTAAACTGAAAGCACAAACCATTATAATTTTGCTTTAAATCTGATATGTTTGAACTTTGGAATCCTGATTTTTGTTTTGAAGATTTCATCAAGTAACTATGAAGTCTCTGCCTTCTCACAGAACTTGCAAGTGTCTGGGTCATTCTGGAAGAAAGCCATTGAAAGAGTTCAGAACAATGGTTACAGGCAGTTGTCTCGACCACCAGAGCTAGTGAATTTAACAGAGCCTCCAATGCGGAAGAGGGTAGGTAAATTATTCCAGGTTTTACTGAATGTATTCCAGTACTGCTGAGGTCATTTGATGTGAAATGCCTTGATCTGTACTTATTTGC